TGTGTCTCACAATATAATGAATGAAATAGGACCATTCAATCTAGATTGTTATGGACCCTTAGCTGGAAGGGCTAGCTTGGACACACCACCAAGTATGGGTGGGGTTATAGTCAACAATTTAAAGCTTTGGCAAATTTAATATATATCCATAAACTTATTAAAGTATTTATGATAAATAATCAAGGAAAAACTTTTTGCTAGGTTAAGGAACGGTGTTCTTAGTTCAAAATAGTAATTTAAACAATGGTATAGTGTCACTTGATCATAATGACTAAGTGGGAAAGACAAATTATAGAATGGTATTGTGAGTCTAAAAAAAAAAAAAATCTTTAAAAAAGGACTTATAGGAGGGTCATAAAATTAAGTTGTGGATAGTGCCCAAGTGGAGAATGTTATTGAGATTTCATATGAGTGAACATCCCATAAACTTGGCAAAATTGAGATTTTGTTTATAAACTAAAAGGATACCTCAAAAATGAAAGTAGGGATTCTATGTTGTTTAGTGCAACAATCAATTGATAGGAGCAAAAGACTAATGGTTGAATCTAGTTAAGAATTACTTTATAGTGAATACTAATAGATTGTAGAAAAGGAAAATGTTTCCAAGAATGGGATTCCCAAATGCTTCAATTCAGCAAAAGCTAAAAGCTCTAAAATATAAAATAGCAAGATAGCTAAATGATAGGGCCATGAATAGCTTTAACAAAAATTATGAATAAGTGGAATTTAATACCTAAAGTGACATGAAATAAAAGAAAGGATAATGGTGCTCTCAAGTAAAGAACTTTTTAGAATAGAATTTATGCAATATGTGCAATACAAAGTGTTAAAGGCATATAAAAATTGACTTGAGAAGTTAATATTAAGGTTTTAAACTATGATGATTATGTTGATAGAAGCCCAAATTGCTCTAGAATGAGTATTAAAATTGAGATAGAGAAGTGTCTTTAATGGGTTTAGCAAGAACTAAATAAAAAAAAAGGGAAAGAACCACTACAAATGTCTTTAAGTTAAAGAAATTATTCTCCTTAAAGGATAGACAAGATATAATGATTAGTGCTAAACCATTAATGAATAGTGGCTTGGTGCAAAGGATGAAAATGGTAATCCATGATGGGGTTATTGTATAAAATGGTTTATTGAGGACATTAAACTTTGTTTATACATGGTGGAATTGTAAAATATAAATCCCTAAGCCCCAAAGTGGAAGAAGTTGAACTCCCAAAGAAGTGCTTAAAGAAGTGCAAAACAACCGATGAGCAAATATCTAAAAAGGGACATAAGAAGGACCAATACATAATAGGTGTCATAACATATGGAAGTGTCAGGATTAAATCTAAGACTAAGTCTAAAGTTGCATCCAAAACTAAGCCTGAAACCAAGTCTAAGTCCATGTTTGAGATGGAGGCCAAGACTAAGTCTGGGATGGAATCTAAGTCCAAGACTAAAACCAAGACTAAGACCGAAAGTGAGACCAAAATCAAGTCTAAGTCTAAATCTAAGTTTAAGTCTGAGTTCTGGTCCAAATCCAAGTTTGAAACTAAATCTGTATACTAATATGGATCATAGGGTGAAAGGTTAAAACAATTGTCCTTTGAAGGGGCTACAGGGGTTTTTAAAAGTGTAATAGAGAGAGTATCGGGGTGGATTATAATAGAATTAATTTGGTCAAGAAAGGCTAGTGTGACTAAGGAAAGTTACACTCATATGGTGAGTGATGATATAACCACTGAAGTGTTTAAGGCTAGAGTGAACACATATGTATAAATAGAGTAATTTGGGGAAGTGTTCAAAGGCCAACTTTAACTTCCTCAAGAACTCAAATAGTTGATATTATTAATCCAAGTGTGGGTGGCACTACTTACTTAGATACTAATATGGCTTATAAGAACCTCACTCTAGCCACATGGTTAAAACACCTAGAGGCAGAAGGTGGGGAAGTACCCATGAGACTCATATAGAGCCATAATGTTTTGAAATGTCATCCCAAAGTCCCAAATTGTGGAAAGAAAGAAGAGCAATTTTCTTCTATAGTGACCAAAGGTATAATTATATGGTGAAGAAATTTTAGAAGTCAATGGGGTATAAACCTATTAGCAGTGTTAACGAGCACTACTGTGAATGAGAGTGGCCATCCCATGACCACAACTTAGCATCCTTAGGATGTTTGGAGATATAGGAACATTATTCCACTAAACCATTTATTTATAGATAATCATCTAATAACTACATTTTAGCATCCTTAAAATGCCCAAAGACATGAGGAACACCCTTTTCTAATATCTCTCATTCAATCCATACCAAATTCCTCCTATGGATGGATGGCTAAGTCTTTAGGAAATGAGATTGGTATATAAATGGTCTTGGACTATGAACTTAACCTTAGTGTAATAGGGTAATATATCAAGGATACCCTTGGATGTCTATAATGGGATTGAATATATAGAGCAATTAGACCAAGCGTAAAGGTGGTGTGACTTTGAGGTCACCCCTCGGGGCTAGTAAATCCCTAAATTAGGAAGAGTATCTATAGAGGTTTTGAGTGAGACTCTTTTATGGGGTGAAGAAGAAAATTAGTTGCTTACACATTACTATTAACAACCCAACCTAACAAAATCAATATATTTTCATCAATAGTTTTGATGGTATTGGTAAAACATTTATTATTAACATTCTTATATACACATTACAACTTTTAAACAAAAATATAGTTAATATGGTCAACACTTTACTTATTGCATTTAAACTTTATGTTCCAATAAATGAAACTTTTATGTTTTCTATTACTATTAATAGTGAAGCATGCCAAAAAATTACGAATGCACATGTTTCAATATGAGATGAAATTAGTATGGTTCACACACATGCATTTTCTGCCATTAATATAAAATTAAAAAATATAAAAGAACTAAATTACCTTTTAGAGAAATAATTATTATTACAAGTGGTGACTGTAGACAAATATTATTAGTTATTCCACATGGTCATCAAGCATAAATTATTTTAAATTCAATAAAAATGAATATGTTATGGCAATTTTTTAGAACACTTTCTCTAAAAAAATGAGTCTAATTGAAAATAACTTTTCATAGGCTGAATGGCTTATTCAAATTGGAAATGGTGATTATTACTTGAACTTAACAATATTATCTTTAAGACATTTTAGAACCAAATATGGCATCTATTAGAGTCAATAAATGATGATATTTTTCCCATTAATAATGCTATAATCTCTTCATTATCAAGTGATATACATATTTATGAAAGTATTAACTTTATTGATATTAAACACCCAGAAGATTTTCTAGTTGAATTCCTAAATTTCATCATGCCTTCTAGTCTTCCACCACTTAAAGAAAGTGTTATCCTTATTTTATTAAGAAATATATATCCATTTATTAGACTATGTAATAGTATATGCTTCATCCATAAATATGTTTTACCAACAGTTCTAGACTGTAAAATTATGTTGGGCAAATTCAAAGGCACACAAGTTTTCATCCCTTAAATCATATTCACACCAGAAATTTCATATAAAATGTCTAAAAGACAATTTCCAATTTTTTAGGGGTATTGCTAGTGCTAAGGAAGTCATTTGACCAAGTTGGGATACACTTGCACGTTTAGGCTTTATCAAGATGCACATCACTAGTTAGACTAAGCATTAGAGTACAAACTTGTGAGTTCATGAATTTAGATTTCTTAGGAGGTCATTTAGCCCAAAATTATGAACTCTTAAATTTGCTTTCATAAATAGAAGTTAAAAGTTAAACTTCTCTCTAGAGTCTTGAGTTTGTTAACACTCTACCCCTCGAGTTGAGCTTAGCTAGAGGCAAATTATACCTACCAACTTTTAATTTCAACATGTTATGTGATTTTGTTAATTAAAATGTGATATCTTGAATTTGGATTTTTTGGAAGGTCAACTAACCCAATGTTATTTAAACCTAAATATGCTTAACCCCAAATATTTCAATACCCTTAAAAAATGGGGTGCACTCTTGTTTATGGGTCTATATTTAAACTCATATTATATTGATGGTGAAAATAAGCAATAGTTGTTCTTGGAGTGACATATTTTTATAAGTAACCAATGAGAGAATAAAAAGGTTTTATATTAAATTTTTCCTAAGAAGTCACCCAACATAATACTATTCAAACTCAAGGACAATTAACCTTAAGTATCCCAACACATTTAACAAATTTGAATAAAGTGCACTGTTATTTATGAGTCCTTTCTTTTTATATTTGAACCTTTATGAATTGTTTATCAAATAGTTCCTTTTAATTGCTTATACACTAATTTCTATTGAGTTTGATTCTTGCTCCCAAATTTAATATAGCTAATGTTGTTACTTTAAAGAGTAGTATTATGATTTCAAATATCACAAATTTGTAATTTAGCGTTGAGCATAAATTTTAAATTACATATATCAAGGGGAACATAGATTCCATCTTTGGCTTTGGGAAGTCACTCTACAAAGTAAGCAAAAATTATCTTTAACTTTTCAAATGAAATGTTGATCTCTTTCTCATATATGTAATCTTATATCAAATTCCAATGCAACAACTAATGGATCCTTTATAGTAGAAGGAAAATCTACCCTCATTGCCAACGTTGAGTAGAAATTTTTGAGTTAAGTTTAATAAACAAGACAAAAAAGCTTAACCTCACATAGATTACTCTTTTTGAGGTAAGTCGTTAAGCATTAAAGGGGGTGGAGTGGGTGTGGCTAACCCCCTGCCACGTAAGTCCCTCCCGGAGAATGCTCTCTCAAATGCTGAGATACAGGCGTCAATTCCACCAGCGAATTCCAGGCGCCGGTGAGATTCATCCCTGGAATCGATCCATGTGCGGGATCGCCGGTGGGAGCGCGCAATCCATACCTCGCGCTCATTCATTCCTGGAATCGATGGATCGCATCCCTCTTGTAGCTTTTTTGGCCAGCCTTTGGAGATCCCTAGCTGGTCGAGAACTTTGGAGCTTAACTCCTAGTGTTTTAGCGTGATAGAATCGTTATTTTGATCTTGAGAGAATGCTTCTGGCATTGTCTACCAAGAACTAGTTTTTGACAAATAGACCTCAGTGATTTAGCTGGGAACTTGATCACTAGCTGGAAAACACTCGCAGCTTTTAACCTTACCTCGCAATAGTTTGATCTTGAGAGAATGTTCTTTATCTGCCAAGAACAAAAACTAGTTTTTGACAAACGTACCACAGTGATCTAGGAGCTCGGAACTTGGTCACTGAGTTCTCTGTTGAGATAGTCGGCAAACATTCGCTTGGCGCTGATACTGTCCGACGGTGGCGGTGGACCTGAGAGGCTCGACTGTCCTGCGAGCCGGATGAAAGTTCTTCGGTGGCGGCGGAGCTCTGGGAGGCCGATTCGTTTTTGCAACCTGATGTTCCAAGGAGTCAAGGAGAATTTGGAGTTTGATCGTCGAGAACAAAGAAGGAACAAAGGATATCTTCGGCAATCCTTCTCCAATATCCACGAGTGAGCCAAGTTCTTGCGTTTGAGACTCGACGAGAGCGTTGATCACGTCCTGGGAAAACAGTGGTGTGGCTAATAGAAAGAATGGTTTTCTTGCAGGTACCTGAGTGGCACGATCAAGCTCGTATAGCGAGTTTGTCTCGGAAATCCGTGCCTGCAGCGAAGCTACTTCATCAGTTGTGCTCAAACGTATTTTTGTGTTTTACTTAACAGTTTGAGTAGCAATTGTTGGCTGGAGTATCCGAGAAACTTTTCTCCCTTTCTCGTTTCCAGTGAGAAACGCAACGGCCTCTACAATTGGTGTAGACGATTCTGTAAACTCCCCTGCAAGGAAGCCTGTGATCGAAACCGAAGAACAAGAAAGAAAAGAGAGTACCTTCAGATGGTCTCAACTCGAACAGTGGCGTATCCCAACGATTCCTTCTATCAGGACGCTCAAACCTTCGAACCAAGTCGTCAAATCTGTTTCATAAATCTCCCATGCTTATGGTCATCCAAAGTGTGACAGCTTACATTTTATCATCATAGCAAGGATCGCCCCGATCAAACTTCGACTTATTCCAGCTCCGGCAATCATCTTCACCTGCGTCACAGTAGATCTAGAAAGCCTTAACTCGTCAAGTAGAATAAAAGAACGAAAGAAAAACCAACCACGCAGTATTGGACTCCAGCAGCACGGGCCAAGCACCAAAGCTCGTATCTATATCCCTGTTCTTGCAAGAACAATTGAGAAAAACTTTCAAAAGCTTTGAGCACTTTTCTTACCTTGATATTGTTGAGTGAATCAATGACGACAATCACCTCCTTGGTGACCGCGCGATCCACAGCCGATCTCAGCAGTCCTCGCAAGTTCTTCTCGTGAAACATATCTCAAATTCCCACAAAGAAGATCGTGACCACATTGTAGAACAAACACGAATGGTTCTCACTCACCTTGATAACTCTCGTTTCGATCCAACCCCAGCGACGTCTCATCGATGAGCTTCACCGCGTGTGGCAAGCTCGCAGCTTCAAGGCCGCGGATGAGGCTGGCGGCCGCCGCCGATTTGCCGCTGCAGGGCTGCCCACACATCACAACCAGCGCCATTCCAGAAAAGCCCTAAATTTTCGTCCCAAACGTCTTTCAAGATGCCCATACCGGGCATTTGCTGGATAGCTTGCGAGTTTGCGAAATAAGTTCTTGTGTGTTCGCCAAACGAGAGTTGGGTTTTTTCGCAGAGAATGTTTTGTTTCTCCAGATGCCCATGGCAAAGGTTTTGGATGAACTTTTGAGCTTTCAAATCGATTTCAAAGCCTGGTTTCGAGATGCCGAAGATGGGCATTTGTTTGAGCTAAGAAATCTCGCGTTGGGTCAGAAGCAGCCTCTAAAGTTTGGTCTCTACACAGCGTTTCAGACAATGTAGGTAAGGTTCTAAGCTTCATCACACCCAACCCACTACGAAAAAAGCTAGAAAAAAAAGAGAAGGGGGCGAATCAGATCGATCTGGCTTTAGCTGCCCTCGAGGGACAGCCAACAAGATTTTGCCGAATCAGTGTCGATCATACGGGGAAAGATTAGACATCACCTTCGCCGCTTTTCCACAAGGAAAATGAAAAAAGAGAAGAGACAAGCAAGACGCGATGAACAAGGAATCAGAGTATTCTGGCTTCGAACGCCCCAGAGGGGCCGTTCAATAAGAAAATCGCCGAATCAGTGTCGGTCATACGGGGAAAGATCAGCATCATCTTCCATCGCAGAAGAAAACCTAGAGAACTAGACTGCACACCCTAGCCTCGCACAGCTTCTTATCGTGGAGTGACCTAAGATCGGACGGGCCGCATTTGTGACATCTCATCCATACCGTCGAAAATGTGAGGGTTCGAATCCGGGCAAATTTGTCTAACATTTACAAAGTTTACCAGGACAAGCTACATGTGGTCAAGTCGTTGTAGTATAGTGGTAAGTATTTCCGCCTGTCACGCGGACGACCCGGGTTCGATCCCCGGCAACGGCGCAAGTAATTTTGTTTGTCAATCCTTTTTATTTTTTAGATTACACAAATACTATGAAAATTATGGCCAACCATTTTGTGTGTTTCTTTGTTAACGTTTTGATGTAAATCAATCAAATTACACAACGTTGCAAAGTTCTTTTTAGTCACTGTCCAATTCGCTGAAATCAATATCATCCAGACGACCGGATCCCTGCATTTTCTCTTGTTTTTAGGAAAACTACAAAAGAAATAAAAGGAAAGAAAGCTTGCCTGTTTGCTATTTACTTTGCCAAGGTAGCCTGTCGCTTTGAAATTTTTGAGCTCTAGAGGCCCAAGCTTGGCTTGTTCTTCGCTAACTGTGATCTGGAAGGAGACCTGGAAGAACAAAATGCGTGAGCAAAGTTCTCTTTCCTTCCATTAGGCAAACCTTGCTCTTGCCGGGAGGTATTTCGGCGAGCGTATCGATCCGGAGGTTCTCCGTCTACGAAAAGAAAAGGAATGTTATAATCCAAAACAAAAGCTCACTGCATTGTACCATCTCACCGTATCTAATGCTGGTTCGCCTTGAGCATCGTAGACTCTTCCAAAAATGTCCTGATGATTCACAGGTGAGAATATTAACCACAGCCCATGAACCAGAGAATCTTTTTCACTTACAGCATTGTAAACTGGCTGAGAAGCTGGATTCGTGGCTTCCCCGGTCACTCGAAAACACGTTGCTTTGAACGACGTTCCACCAGTCACTGTTGTCTGTCCCTCTGAAAAATTGCACAAGCTCCTAGGGAGGCAAGCGTCATTGATTTTACGTGAAAGAGAAAACCAACAGCTTACAAACAACGAGGAGAAAGAAAAAGAAGAGCTCCAAGAGAACGAAAGCTTCGCTCGATCCATGAATGCCAAATAGCATCGAGAAGACAATCTTACCAGGGCATGGAATTCGAGTCGCCTCCACATTCCTCAACGCAATCTTCACGTCTGCGAATGCCGGGTTTGAGATTTGCAGCACTCCAGACGCCAGCAGCGTCCCAGATCCCAGCAAAACGCTCCTCCGCTCCACGCGAAGAGACTGAGCTAAGAAAACCGTGGAATCAGGAAAGAAATCGATGAAATGGCGCCACACCTGATTAGCAATCGCATTTTGCTGCCGAATTCGATTCCCTGGCGCTAGCTCTGCGGGCGCAATGCAGCAAAGCGGTAGCACTCCCCCAATCTTCGCCATGGAAGTCTATCCTTCTTTAACAATGTTGCCTTTTACCTTTCTATTAACCTTTTCCATTCTCTTTATAAAAAGGACACTGGCGTATACTTAGGGCAAACAGTTTTGTAGTAATGGACTATTCGTTACTCCAGGTAATCCAGGAGGAGGTATTGGTGCGTTTGCCAGCAGCATTTCTACACACCCACGTAAAATCTGTTTGCAAGCAGTGGAAAGATCTCATAGAGTCGCCTCGGTTTAAGTCTCTCCACCACAAATACCACTCTGATGGTGAGCGAAGTCCCCCCATTCTTTTGGGCCTCAACTATATTTCCGGTAGTACCCTTGCCAAGTGCAATCCCTTCGGACAAGGAGGAGCCAAAGATTGGATTATGGTAGACCCACCGCCAGAACTTGACTTCAATCTTATTTCATGCGCTGGTGGTCTAATGTTTGGGCGCAGCATGAGGAGCTACGTTGTCTTGAATCCCCTCACTGGGGATCTCCAGGTCCTGCCACCACCACCTTCGTCACCGCCCATGCTCTCTACGTCCGTCATGGCCATGCACGCATCCAGGCAGCGCTATTGGATTTGCCTTGCATTTATGCGTGTAATCTACTTATACGATTCGAGTGTAGGGATTTGGAAAGAGGTGGCACTGCCAGAAGGATGGATAGAAGGATGGACGCAACATTGCTATGCAAGGGCTATCAACAGCAAGGTGTATTACTATTGTCTAAGACTCAATGATGTTGATACCAGTCGCCTGGGAGTTTTGTGCCTGGATCTGGAAAATTTAAGCTGGTCTACGGAGTGGACGATCGATGGGTATGATACGCCTTGGGAAGATTTTCTTGTATCCCCAGCGCTGGATTTCTTCAAAGTCGTTGTGAAAGACTCTACGTATCATCTCTCGAGGCTGGATGCTGCATCTAAAGGCTTTGTGAAGGAAACTAGTTTAAATGTGACAGAAGGCTTGTCTCATGCTCCATCTTGCTGCTACAAGGACACGATTGTGGTTGCCGGTCCCAAAACATTGGCAGTGCTGGATTGCAAAACCAGATCTTGGAGCAAACATGAAAACCAAAACGTTTCCAATTTTGAGTGCTTGCTTCTATTCGAACCATCGTTGTTTGATTCTTGTCAATGAATAAGAAAACAAAACAATGGCGTTCACGTCTTGAGCATCAATTTTATCTTCTACTTCCAGCCAACGGCACTCACCACAACTTCCACACACATCCATGTCAGGTGGTAGATGACAAAACTGAGCCGATTCGAAACTTTAAAAGAGATGGAGTAAAGGAGCTATGCCCTGCGTCCATAGCCTGTGCTCATACTCGCAGACCAAAGCATTCCAGTTGCGGTTTTCAATCCAAAATTGTCCAGGCCACGCGGGAATGTTACATCCACGTCGAGAACAATGTCTGTTTAAGACAGAAAACTTCTCTTCAATGCCACCTTGATGAGGATAAAAAGAACGTAACGAAGCTTTTCTTTCTTCCTTAGGCCCATATGCTCAGAGTGTATCGATCCGGAGAACAAAACAAAAGCTCACTGCATTGAATCATCGTACCGTGTCTAATGCCGGTTCGCCTTGAGCATCATCTAGACTCTTCCAAAAATGTCCCGAGGATTTTCCAGTGATCCACAGTGTTAATCGCAGACCAAAATCAAGGAAAGGAGAGAAAAGTTTTAATCACAGGCTGAGAAGCACACACACAATCACAGAAACGTCAATTTTTTACCAAAAGCATGTACCTGAGGTCCACTCTACTTTTATGTAATGATAACTCTCTCGTGTATTCCATTTCCTTGCCATGTGATAGTTTTCATGTTCTTGCTTGGCAAATTACTATTAAGATTGAGAGAAATGGAGCGCGAGCAAAACATCCAGAGGACCTTTTACAAAGAAAAATGACACACCTTTACGTCTTACGGCCAGCAAGCTCCTTGCCGTGCCTGGTCTCGTGATGGCACCATAAAAACAATCACTCCCTCAAAGCCCTGCCATGCAATCTACCCAGCACCCTCGCCGCCCTCTCTGGTCAAAATTCTGCTCCATCCAATCCTCTCGCTCTCCCATTGGCCAACAGCAACATCAACAAAATTTCCCATGACCATGTCTGCGATCAGACGGCCTCTTATCGTTATATATATATAGATAGATGTTAGCGAATTGTCTTTCATTGAGAAGGATCAAACAACGCGAATGGAAGCAAGAAATCAAACTTTGAACCGTTTTGGTTTTCATGAGTGCTCCAAGATTTGGTCTTGCAATCCAGCACTGCTAATGTTTTGGGACCGGCAACCACAATCGTGTCCTTGTAGCAGCAAGATGGAGCATGAGACAAGCCTTCTTTCACATTTCGACAAAGCCTCCCGATGCAGCGTCCAGCCTCGAGAGATGATATGTGGAGTCTTTCACAAAGACATTGAAAATATCTAATGCTGGTGATACAAGAAAGTCTTCCCAACATAGGCTTTGCATATTATACCCATGGATCGTCCACTTGTAGACTAGCTTAAAGTTTCCAGATCCAGGCACAAAACCCCCCTGGTATCATCATGGCGACAATAGAAGTACACCTTGTTGTCGATCGCCCTTCCCTTCCATACATCCATGCTTTCAAGCGGCGCCACCTTTTCCACACTCGAATCGTATAAGTAGACTACACGCAATCAAAACGCAAATGCAATAGCGCTGCCTGGATGTGAGATCCCGCTTGAGAGGCCCTGGTGAGGGAATTCAAGACAATGAAGCTCTTGCTGTTGTGCCCAAACATCAGTCCACCAGCGCATGAAACTATATTGAAGCACTGTTCTGGCCAGGGATAATCCAATCCTTGGCTCCTCGTCCAAAGACGAGGTACTGTAAATATAGTTGATGCCCAAAACAGTGACTTCGGTCACCGAGGCGACTCTATGAGGTCTTTCTACTGCTTGCAAATTGATTTTACGTGGTTGTTTAGAAACACTGCTGGCAAACGCACCAATACCTCCTCCTCGATTATCTGGCTCTCTCTCTTTTCCCCCTTTTGTTGTTTCTGTTGAATGCGGTGGCCATGTGCCCGGAGTAACGAGTAATTAAGACTTTGTTTGCTATGTTTACTACTCCTACACCCATAAGTGTATGAAAGAGGTCTTAGAAATAAAAATTGGGACAGTTAAGGTAAGAGGGACCTATGCTTTGAGTGTGTTCGGAACGCTGGTAGGATCTTCTAGCATCAATAAATACCTGCAGGTAAAGCGCGGCTACCAGGTAGTCTGTTGGTTTCTTCTTCTTCGTCTCCTTTGTTGCTTTTCTACCGTGGTCCTTTGATGGTAAAGAGCTCCAGCTGAACCAAAATCTCCAAATAGTTGTTTCGTTTTCTGTTTCGTATACTTGCAACATACAGGAATCCTGAGGCCAAAAACAAAACACACTCAGCTCGATGCTGATGAGATTGTCCAGCAAATCCATACTGCAAACCCGTCAGCCACCATGATCGTACTCTTGGACATGGGTTCAAGGCACAAAGTATTAGATGAATTCAGAAGGCTGCAATCACAGGTTACAGTTCAGAATTACTTTCTTCCATGGCGAAGATTGGGGGGCTAGCACTTTGCTGCATGGCGCCCGCGGAGCTCACGGCAGGTGGCTCTTGGAGCTCCACTGTTCTTTGTCCTCTGTTGGTACAGTGGAATTTTACAGACAACATGGTGGAACGTTGTTCAAAGCAACATGTTTTCAAGTGATCGCAGAGTTGGTTTCATAATTTTTGTCTAGTGCATGCTTCCCAGGCTTCTGCGGCGCTCTATCGGGCACGAATCGATTGAATCCCTTGCAATAGCTGTGAGGTAAGAGACTTTTTGGAGAAATGTGAATTCCCGTGATCGCCGGTGGTTTGACTATTGGCATCCGTTTGGTTATCCAGTATCATCCTGGATGTTTCAGCTCGGTCACTGTCTGGGAGGATGATCATGATCTGGGCGAGACTTGGGACAGTGCGGGAAAGGTATGCTAGAAGAAGCTATAGAAATTCCAGGTGAATTCCACAGGCTAGAGTTACGATGGCTGGGTGTGCTAGCTCTAGATAATTAAAACTTTCAGGGCATGACAGATCATGGTGGCTACTCTTTTTTAAGGTTAAGATAGGTGTACGTACATTGTAAGGCTGTGAATACCTCCCTCAATACACATAGAAGTATAATATACATAATGTTTCTACACGTGGAGAGGGTAGCCATGTGGCAAAGGTGTTTAAAGTATAAAAATAGTAATAGAGTGTTTGGATCTTTTAATATATATATTTATACCTTTAGGATCTGTTAATTTAAGTAGGTATATAAGGGTTAAAATAAATTTATATACTTAGGGTTTTTTGATTTTTTTTGAACGCACCCATATCCAGAGATTTATTCTAGGTGGCCACCCTGGGTGGCAGATAGGGAAAGTAAACAATGCTAAAGAGAATGGTTTTTGAGTGCAAGAAAAGACGTTGTCCCGCTACTCTTTGGGAGTTTGCAACAGTTTGGCTTGCATTTGATTGTAGTCTGTTAGAAAGAATAAAAAAGAAACTGCATTTGCTTGGCGCTGGTAGGCTAATATCCAATTTGTGGTAGTAAACAATGGTACTTTGTTAAACCCTTCATCGTTGTTTTACTAAGCTAATGTATAAGTACCATTGTTTACTATCAAAAAGTGGATTGGCTTTACACTTGCATGACGATATTTTGGATTGAAAACCGCGACTGAAATGCTCCAGTCTGAGTGTAAGTCAGAGTACAAGCACTTGGACACAAGGCATAAGCTCATTTACTCCATCTCCTCGCCATCGTCGAGCAGCGATCGTGGAATGTTAGCATCCACGTCGACGAGAACGGAGAAAGAAAACTTCTCTTGAACATGGCGATGGAGGAGAAAAGAAAGTAACGAACCTTTTCTTTTCTCGAGTGGGAGGTTCTCGGTCTACGAAAAGGAGAGAACTGTTATGATCCCTACAAAAAAAAAAGCTCACTGCATTGCATCTTAGTTACCGGGGAAGCCACGAATCCAGTTTACAATACCGTGACTAAAATCTTTCTCTTGCTTTTTGCAATAAACACTGTGGATTGACATTTTGAAAGAGTCTGTGATGGTCAAGGCGAACCGGCACTAAGCATGGCCGAAAACATGTTACTTTTCCACCAGTCCCAGTTGTCTGTCCTCTGAAAGCTCCTGGGGAGGCAATTTTACGTGAAAGAGAACTTACAAACAACGAGGAGAAAGAGAAGAGGAGCTCCAAGAGAATGAAAGATCTGTTTTCTTGAATGCAGATATAAAAGCAAGCAGCAATCGAGGAAAAAAACCAGGGCATGGAATTCGAGTCGCCTCCGCATTCATCAAAGCTATCTTCACGTCTGCAAATGCCGGCTCGAAATTTGCAGCACTCCAGACGCCAGCAGCGTCCCAGCGCCCAGCAAAACGCTCCTCCGCTCCACGCGAAGAGGTTGAGCTCAAAAAACAAGGAAATCGAGCTTGGAATCTGGAAAGAAATCGATTAGCAATCGCATTTTCCCGCCACATTCGATTCCCTAACGAGAAAAGTGCTGCTCTTCCATACTACTAGAAAGAAAGAAGTTTCTTCTTCTCTTTGCTATACACTTCTTTGCTTTCTTTCTTGTGTGTTAAATTGGCTCCATAGCTCCCAGCTCGAGAACAAATAGAACTATATTCATTCTATCTTCTTTTTTTCTTTGGCCTGGCTATGGCCTTTTAGTCGATGATTGTGTGGAAGTTGTGGTGAGTGCCACAGATTGTTGGCTGGAGAGATGGAGTAAATGAGCTATGCCTTGTGTCCATAGCCGGTGTTCGTACTCTGACTTACACTCGAACTCGAGCATTCCAGTCGCGGTTTTCAATCCGAAGTATCGCCGCTGCTCGCCGTTGTCGAGCAGCGATCGTCCCGGCCATGCGGGAATGTTAGCATCCACGTCGAGAACAATGCCTGTTTAGATCAAACAGAGAGAACTTCTCATCAAAATGCCACCTTGATCAAGGAGAAATGCGAACCTTTTCGTTTCTTCCTTAGTCCCATATGCTTGCTTTGGATCTTGACAATTACCTGCGTGATGGATCAAAGACCATGAGAACATAAACTAGAATTTCCTAAAGCAATGTTCACAAACCTGGCCATTGTTGGGATCACTATACACTGACACAGTTCTCCAATGTAGCTCGCCTACAACAAGGAGTCAATTAAAGAGATCGATTTTTTCTCCACTACCTTTCTTGGAGCGCTTGAGAAACTCGCATCCTCTGTTAAGAACCTCTTGCGTGTAGCTCTCGGCGTCGCCATCCTCGGATCCCAGATCGCCACTGTTAAAATGTAAGGCGTGTTTGTCGTAGGGAGTCACGGTTGCATGGCTCTTTGCGTCCTTGAGCGTCCGAGCCTTGAGAGTCGCGGCTCCACGCAGAGCTAGATCAAAAGATCAAACAAAGTAAGAACACGAAGAAACCACGCAAGAACTCGATGAAACTTTGACAGAACTTAGAGCTTACCAGTGGCTGCCGCGGCAGTAAGCGTCATGATATCTCCCGCGGTTTTCACGTTCACGGCGGAGCTGACAACGTGAGTGATGTGATCGTGATCGGCTCCCAAGCTCTCGGCCAGATCCACGCACTGTGCCGCGACGAGCGAGGCCGCGGAAGCCACAGCCAAGCTCGTCGTCTTGGACGACGAGGAAGGATCGTCCAGCGCTGGAGAAAACGGAGATGGCGATGGTGACGCCGCCGCCGCTGTAGCCGCTGCCACTGCCGCCACCGCCGCTGCAACTCCGGCCATAGAAACCGCGGCGTGGACTTGAGCGTTGTGTGCTCGGCTGAGCTCTTTCTTTCGCTCTTTCATGTCTTTAAACCATCGTCCCACGGATGATCTCCCGCGAAGCTGATGGGATGATTTGGAGGCGGCAGTGGGCTGGAGAGAAGAGCGACGCAAATCCAAGCGACCAACAAGGGAAAAAAGAGACTTTATTCGTTCTTGCTCGATGAGAAAGCTTGCCAAAGTTCTTTACCTGGTGGTGGGGATGGAGGTGATCGTCTGTGAATTGCTTGGGCGATGGCGGAGGGCTGGCGGCCAGAATGCCGCTGTTTTGGTGGAAAATCAGTGGTCCACTGCTGTGGGAATTCCTCCGGGGAGTTGTGAACAAGGAGTGTTCCTGCGAAGAACACGTATGAACACAAAGAGAAAAGCTTTAAAAACTCTCACCATTATCCTGTCCATGACCATCTGCGAAGTCATCGAGGGAGCGAACACGAAAGGCGCTCCTTCCAAGTTGGATTCTTGCGGGGAAGATATCGTGGTGGAGCAATCATCCTGCAGCGGCGGCGGCGGCGGCGTCGCGATGGAAGTTTGCGATGCCGCTCGAGCTTTGGACACCTCAAACGCCGAAATGCTCCACGACCTCGAGAGGAATTCGAGGGGCTCTTGCGGCGTCTCTGGCTCGGGGAATCCCGGGGTTGGCGATGGAAAGCTCACGGCCGAATCCTCCTGGATGTTCTCCAGGTGGAGGAAGCTGCCCTTGAAATCCGAGGACTTGGATGCAAAGCTGTGGTGGAAGCCACTACCTTGGATGCGTTCCGGGCTGCTCTTCATTCTCCCTCGCGTGGATTCGATCACTGGAAGAACACTACCTAACCTTGTTAATGATCTTTGGTGGAAGAAAGAGCTTAAAACTAAGATGGAGGAATGAGGAGAACTGGATCCTCATCTGCTGGGATGATCCATCCGGTGGGCGGTGACAATTCCAGCTTTTGAGGGAACCCACAAGGAAAAAAAACGAGAACAAATCGAGGATGAGTAGTGGGCGATCACAAAAAAATCCCAAACAGTGGAGCGAAAGAAAACAAATGGAAGGCGCCTATGGGATGGAACCATCAAGAGACCACTCTGGAAAAGGAGGAGAAAAAAAACTCCATGGATCGACACTGGAAAGCTGCTACATTCCTTTTCTCTCCTTTCTCCCGCGCCATCTAGAAAAATTTCCTCTCTCCTTTGTTTGCGATCGGCCTTGATGGCAGTGGCTCGCTCGCTCGCTCCTCCCCCACACAAAAAAGAAGAATAAAAAGAAACCAATGTTTTCACAGCTCATGCCTTTGTTTTTGTGGCGTGGACCATCCAACGATCCACAGTGCCACTGGAGCTAAGCGGCAGTAGAAATGAGACACGTAGCACGTGAATCCGCCGTGTACTTGGCGATCCGACGGCGCGCATTGGGTGGTCAACGGGCACGGGAAGTCAGGTGGGTTGGGACGAGATCCGGACCGTCGGCCGGCCTGATCCAATGGCCTAGATTGGAAAATGGGCAAAAACCAATTCCACACCTGAGAATGAGCTCTCCTTTTATTTTATGTGTGGAAAAATAATATAAGTGATGAAAACGAAATAAAAGAGAGAAAATATAAAAAAGAGCGGAACAGTTTTTGAGTGATTTGTCAGGAGACATGTTTTGAGTGAGGCTAACATAACATGTTTCTGATTCAAATCCTGTCCTGTCTAAATACATTCCAGGATTTGGCAACTGTGATTGTGAGGGGGAGAGGAACAGCCCCCTTTGTCTCTTGTGTGACCTCCAATCCAAAGATCAACCTCAATGTGACCACTGTTCTTGACTGATTGATCCACCACCTCCAGTTTCACAAGAGCAAGTATTCCCTAGCGGGAAAAAAAAAGAGTAAAAAAGAACTGCGCGCAGAAGAAAGAAAAGAGTACTGAAAGTTTGTTCAAAGGAGGACACCAATCACCAAACCAATCATCTGGAAAAAGTTCAGGCTTTTAGGTGCACGCAAACACATGGCTGGCTGCATGCAGCAGACTGCAATTGAATTTCTGATATCCTATGCTCACCAACCAAGAGAATGCAATTGCAGTCACCTCCTCTCTCAAGATCTTGCTTGATCATCTTGCTTGAGAGAAGAAAAAAAAGATCTGCAAATTGCAGCAGATGCTGGCAAGGCTTGGTCTGTGCTGGACTAAAGCTGGATATCCATTCAGCCTGAAATTTCTCTTGAATTTTCTACTGGATTTGGCAGGCATGGCAGCAGCAAATAGATTTCTTGCTCTTGAGGGGTGATTTGTGTATGTGCTGTGATGTGAGCAAAGTCATAAACATTGGATCGGTCAAAAGGCATATCTGATCTTGTGTCCCCCTAGAAATAAGATGGAAATACGAATCACAAGCAGCACATTACATCAGCAATAGACGCACCTTTGTGGTTCTAGGGAACATTGCTTGGATTCAACTTCTTGTCATGGAATCTTGAGGAATTGTCATGTGAAGCAAAGCATGTTTCTAGACAGGACACTGGGTATTTTTAAGAAGTGGGGAAACAAAAGAGAGAAAAAGGAAGGAAAATAGCACTACTTAGGCTAGGCACAACATGACATGTTATAGACATTATTAATGCAGAAGCATTTGGATTTAAACTCCTGTGAGGTATAGCTACATGTCTGAATAAAACACTAGGTAACAGTACAAGTAGCAAGGCAAATCCTTGCAACCAATGATGGGAATATTGTGACAGGTCAGTAGTAACTCAAGTGATTGAATTGAGAGAGCTTAAAATCCCCAGTATCTCATTTTCACCTCTTGGCATTCAAGGCATTTCTAACAGCGACCCCTCCTGACTTCCTGACTGATTTTGATCCTTGAATGAAACTTCGCACGAGAATTAAATCCCTTTGCGCGAGTATGGTATTGAAGCATCAAGTGACAAAACGCTGCTCCCAAGCCAGAGTGGAAGAGAAAAGAGAAAGAGACCCGCTTTTTTTTCTCTTCTTACACTTTCGCTGCTGCAAAGTGTTCGTGATGAAAGTGAGAGAAGTTGGCCATCTAATGCACAAAGCACGTTTCCAAAACTTCCCCTCTGGATTTCCAACAGCTACTCACAGACAATGGTCGTCTCTGCTCTGCCTGTTTCCTACCATGGAAAGGAAAAAGAAAGAATCCCTCCCAAAGCCCCTAAAGACGAAGGCACTCTTTTCTCTTCTCTTTCCCTTCAAGCGTATCCTGCAGCCTTGTTGTGATCCGCGGCCGACTGCATCGACGCAGCGACACCACCCGGAGAAACGACGCTGTCGGGATTGTTTCGCTGCTCGGCGCTCTGAACTCGTGAAGCATCAGCCTGCGTGACGATCTTGTCACCACCCGTTGGAATTGGTGTCTGCAGGACCAAAAGAAGAACTAAAAGATAAGTACCTTCGCAGCGAAAAGCACAAAAAGAGATATACTCACACGAAGCACGTCTCCGACTGTAACCGGCTCGCCTTTGTCCACTGCATGCTGCGCAGCAGCTCCGACACCACCTTTCACGCCGGCCGGAATTCCAGTGGCTCGAGCTTCCGCGCTTTGTATGGCACGAGCATCACTGGCCTCGAGAGGCTTGGATCCCACCAACGACTGAGAGGCCGAATTCAAAGCCTGATGGAGAAAAGAAAACAAACCATCAACGAAAATCCAAAAAGAAACAATCGCTTACGCCTGCAATAGTAGCGGGTGGTGGCCGGTTAGCATCAGCAGTTGCACCATCGTCAATCCCCATCGCTATAATCTCCGCTTTCCTGATAAGAAAACGCAAAGAAGATGGTTTAGTTCAGGACTAGTTATACCGAGAACTACCTGTACAAACGCGTGTCACCATACGTGTCACCTCCTCCATGCGACAAGCGTCGAAAACTTAAGTTGGTTGTAGCTAAAGTCGCGAAAAGTTTTACGAGAAAAAATGTTATATGTACGTTTGTAAGTGGTGATGCTGCTACTGCTACTGCTGCTGCTGCTGCTGCTGCTGCTGCTGCTTGTTGAAATCGGGAATTCCGAGATTTTCCCATCGAACTCTCTGCAGGCACTTACCACAAGCCACGGAACCACCAACGGGAATGGACAGTGATTCCAAAAGGCTGGCGTGATAAACGTCGTTGCAAGCTGCCTTGGAGGGAGTCGCAGTGAAAGGAGGACGAACATCGGTGCTGCTGGCTGGATATTGCGACTGTGGTGGATAGTTCGTCGGGGATTGGCTTGGTATCTGTCGATTCTGCAGCTCGTGTTCAATTATATACCCGTCCCAAGCCGTCTTCATCTCTTCTGGTGTCAGTTTCTCCTCCTCCAAGTCCTCTAACAGGGGCTCGTGTTCGTGATACTGCGCAATCCACCTGCGTGAACATAAAAGCGAAAAAAGTGAACTTACTAAAAATTCGATCAGAAAAGGAGAGCCATACTGTGGCCTAAAGTCCAAGAGAAGCATCGCCATGTGATCATCTCGTGGAGGGGCGTCAGAGGGCACAAAAAACGTTTTGTGCTTGGGCTTCTGACCCTTGGCACCAGGCTGCTGTTGCTGCTCGGTTCCGGCCAATTGAGTTCCCTCCTCGTCGTCATCGTCATCCAAAGTATACATAAGCTCCAGGTCGTCTGCGTTTAAATGCCTGCCAACTTGATGGGCGTCAAGCACCCTCGCAGCGATGCCTTCCTTCGTTAACTGTCATTGTTGAACATTAGACTTGCCTCTCAAACAGTAAAGCTTACTTGGCGATTGTAGATTTTCTCTTCCATAGTCCCGTACGCCAGCAATCGATAGACAAACACAGGCTTCGTTTGCCCATATCTAAATAAAACCAATGATAACCACAAAATCTGAAGAAGATTTCAAATAAGTACCTCCATGCTCGAAAAAGAGCTTGTAAATCGTGAGTAGGATTCCAGGACCCATCAACTATGATGACACGGTTAGCGCCGGTCATATTAGTACCCAGCGAGCCAGCCTTGGTAGAAATTAGAAGACACTTAATAGCTGTGTTGTTAGGATCGTTGAAAATGTCCGCTATCTGCTGCCTCCGACTCGCAGTTGTGTTGCCATCGAGCCTGTGCATTTGCCAAGATTTTATAGATGGCCAGAGAAATGAACAAGAGTGTACCTTAGCCATTCTCTCCCTTTGTTCCAAACATCTTGGCTACCTCCAAGTGGAATTGTATCCAAGAAGTTTTCAATCAAATCGAGCGTGTGCAAACTCTGGCTGAATACTAGAGTCTTTTCGCCTCGCGACGAGTTCAGTGAGAGCAGTGTCATAATCAGGACCATTTTTCCACTGTTTTCTAAAACATCCCGCTTTGACTCTTTAAGAATCTCTTCACACCATTCGAAACTATCAGCCTGAATAAACTACAGTCAGTTCCAAGACAAAAATTGCGAATATACTTACCTCAGGGGAAGCCCGCTTTGGACATCCTGGGCCAGAAAAGAAAAAAAGAGTAGTCAGAACCAACTTAGGAGTAAAACTCCATTGCACCTTGTCCATTCTCGGCGCTATCTTCTTTCTCCGAGTCTACAATAAACTCCTCGTTCAATCGTTGCTCTTTTGCAATAGCTAGCAAATCCGGGTGGTTCCATATCTGTAAAAAAAACCATGAGCTCGTTGAGATCGGACTTACGTTATTACCTTGGCTAGAACATGGTAGTGATCGAAGAGTTTGCTCCTCCCAGTTTCGCATAAGCTCAAAAACTTTTTGTATAGCTGTTTCTGCAAGGGAGACAGGCGGACAGAGATCACCCATACGCACTTTGGAGGGAGTTCATCTTTCAAGACAGTCATGTCCCGTCGTTGCACGAATCCGCTCAGACGTTTATGCAGAATATGCACTGTCCGTTTCATCTTCTTTACATCGTCCGGAGTAGAATCGGCATGTTGACCATTTGCTATTGGATTCTGGACCCTACATGCAAAGGACCTCATTAACATCCACTTTCCAGCAGTCGAAAGTCTTACTTGTTACGAAAGATCGCTTGAGGACCCAGAAACCCAGGCCGCACAAAGTCAACCATCTGTAAGATCAATTAATCCACATAATGACACCAGCATCGGATACTTACACAATAGTACTCCATCAGATTGTTTTGTAGAGGAGATCCTGTCATGGCTATTCGGCGGCCAGATTTCACTCGCTGGAGTGCTATGGTAATGTCCGCCTTGTCATTTTTAATGGTGTGACCCTCGTCACAAACAACTATGTCAGCGCCAGGATCCTAGATAATACAAGCACAAATATAACCGTCATGGTCACCAAGTAAAGAATAAATACCTGCAGGCACTTGCATAGAGTATCTCTTGTTTCCTTGTCCTTCACGTGACTTCCCGTCGAAAGATTCCGAAATGCTGCATAGCCAATAAGCATGACACCTCCCTTTTCCTTCCAGGATTTCAGAAGGCTCGCTCTAGTTGCATTATCCCTGCATAGAGTAGCCGCGTCAACAGTTGTATGAGGATGACGAAGAGAAAGTACCTGGAAGTATCTAGCATCGACACTTCCAGAGGCGCAACTTCTGCAGGCCGCCACTTCTCGAATTCACGCTTCCAATTATGCAAAACATTTACGGGGACCACAACCAACACGGTTTTGAAGTTCAAGTCCACGTTTCTCATTACCGTGTACAAGAAAGCGATAACCTGTAAAGAAGATGGTAAAACAACCATAACTTGGAACTTCTAAGAACTCAAACCTGCAGCGTTTTTCCAAGTCCCATGCTGTGGGCAAGTATGCAGCCCAAACCTACATCCCCGGATTTGACTTTCTCCACAGACTCAATACAGTTGTCCCACATAAATCGGACTCCACACAGCTGTTGCATAAACGGGAGGTTAATAGCTTCATGCGCCTCAAGTAATTACCTGGTGTGGCTTTAAATGCTTCGATATACTTGCAGGAATCCGAACCAGTGGTTCACCAGTTTGCCTGCTAGCAATGTTGATAACGCACCCCTCAGTTTTGCAATCACCTTCACAGATATGATCGTCTCCGTCTGTCCCTTCGACAGCCTTCTCTGAGTTGGCGGCTTTCCCAGAGAGAGACTTCCCCTTTCTTGCTTCTGCATACCATTCTGCTAGGCGTTCTCGACGTTCCTACAATAACAGTGATTGAAAAATGATAGGTAGATTTCTCGAGGGCATACCTTTTCAAGTGCCAACTTCTGTTTCGTAACCTCGTCCAATTCGTCATCTCTCAGCACCCTGCGAATGTTCTTTCGTTGTTTTTTACTGCACAAAAGAGAGGTTAACTAGAGTGCAGTTGAAAAAAGAAAAAAACAGATACCGATTACGCCTCACGTCCAAGTTAGCTAGTGATTCCTTTAAGGCTTCTTCTTCTGCTACTTTCAGCCACTGCTGCAAACTTGCTAAAGGAGATGGATCGCAAAGGTAGCACTTCCAGGATATGTCTTCTATGCTTTCCAAAAACGCAGGTCCGAAATTCCTCCCAATGCAAGACTCGCAAAAAACCTTGTCGCAGCTATCGCAGCAAATCAGACTTCCACCTTCACCACACCATCTACATTCTGCTTCCGAGCCATCTTCATCCTGAAATTGATATGATCAGCAAAAATAAAAAGAGAACCAGGAACACCCTACCTTCCGAAACGGGCCATCATCATACTGTTGCTTACAGGAGGTGCAAATTATAACTTTCAGAACGGGATGCGACAGTACGTCTTTTGCCGACATTGTCTCGCCGCATACTGTGCACCCGAAGCTCCTGTTTCCTCTCGTCAACCTTCTCCTGGTATCCCCGGACAGCTTACTCTGACTTAAATCGCAGCTGTCTGAGTTTCTTTCCTCTTGCTCATCACGATCACTTTTCAATCCCGATTGTTCCTTCTTGGCCGAGGTCGCATCTTCCTCATCTTCACTACTGTTAACCATGAAACAACGCTTTCTCTTGCATCTGGATGAAGAACCATGTTCAGTCACTCGTTTCAAAGGCTTTAACGGAGAAGTCGTTTCATCCAGCGCAGTGACATCTGAAACAAGAGTTAAAACTAAAGAGAATAGCATTACGCGCTAACCTTTACTTGGCACCTTGCCTTGGTCTACTGTTCTCGGTTGTGCAGTCGAACCGCAATCAGCAGGTGGATCGTCGTCATCATCATCGCTGACAACAATGACCATCGAAGGAGTCGGCTTTTTAGCATCATCACCCGCTGAGCTCGTCCTCACTCCAATGGCTTTAAAACTGTTACTTCTTTTAAGAACCTTGAATTCTTCAGTCTCAACTGCTTCGTCATGGCATTGACTTCCATCTGCGACTGCCTCTGCCTGTGTTTCATTATCTCTGACGGTCTGTTCCATGAAGACGGGCATAGGCTCCGTTCCATCTGTGGTTGGGCGTCCAAAAGAGCTAGCATTGCGTATATGATCCTTTCCTTCCCTGGCTGGAGCCACACCTTTCTTCACTTTTTCCTCGCTGCGCGACGGCGTTCCATTAATAAATGACTGATTCCTAGTTGTCACGTTATCCGCGATTGCCTGGTCCGTTCCTGTTTGCCGCTCATGACTCTGACGTTGCTCGTCTTCGAGTCGCAATTCATCTGTGTTCTGCGGGTCCCCTGCAGTCCCCAGATCAATGGTATCGGGCTGCAATCTGGATAGTACTGCAGGAGGCTCGGTTATAATATTAACGTCACTTGTTGATGACTTCACTTGTGATGCCATTGCCCCTCCAAACCCGCACTGCAAATATAAAAGCCGTCAGAAGAGCGATTATTGAGTAAAAACTAACATTGACACGTCTGGCACCAATTTTCTTCTGCATCTGCCGCACATCATCCTCTTCTCTAACCTGCTTGCAGGCTGCGTCAGTACGTGAAGTAAATAAAAGGAATGAATACCCGCTTCATAGTCTTCTTCTGATGCTCCGTAAGACCGAACTCACTCTCTTCGGCCAAAGCGGCCGCCTCCATCCCAACATGTTGATCTATGTCCGCAATATCGTCAACCTGACATGAGAAGGTTAGTTTCTGACGTTTCAAGACATTATACCTTGTCAACGCCTGGGAACTTTAAGCCCAATCGCGCTGCTTGCTCCGGGGTCGAGGCGGAGTAAACCGCAGCCCATTTTTTTGACTCGAACAAGCTAACTGCGCTCAGTTTTGGCTGGAATGCACTATCAAAAGCTTCCCATCCAGTGGAGCCCTTTACAGTATCGACGTCGTTCACTTTTCTTTCCAGGAAACCGCTTGCACCTTCTTCTACAAGTTTGCCTCGGCGCCTAATATCTCACAGGTTAGATCAGCTCCATATGCGTAAAAACGAACCTTATAACCGGCCGCAGAGCATCCAAATCTTTCTCGGCAGAATGAAGCACTTCCGCAAAATCTTCAGGTGCCTGAGTACCAGCCCAGTGAGCCCGGTTTCTCCAAGTGTCCGTCATACACCCTTCAGCAGCCTGCTTTTCAATAGCTTTGAATAGATCCGGTAGAGACACACCGGCATCTTCAAGGCGGTCCTGGAGAAGATGGTTCAGTATCACAATAGCACAAATAGCTCTCTAATCAACCTGAAGCTTTGCACTCTCCTCTTCAAGCTCCAAAAGCGTTTTTTTCCATATGGAAACGTAGTCCGCCATTTCACAAGAAACTGCCATATCCAGCTACCAACAAAATGGTGTCCATGAGCTTTTTTCCTTGCATGCAAATTTCTTACTTCTTGTCCAGAGAGTGTTTCAGACAACTCCAGCCTGACTTCCTCCTCCACTTTCTTTACACTTTCGTCTTCCAAATGTTCTTGAGCGTCCGCGGACTGATAACATCACAGATAAACCAGCTATTGGATGACAAAACAAAAGGATACAAACCTCACTTTCAATTTCCACCAGCCAATCGATCATCCTTGTGACTTCCTCGTCAGACTTTGAGCCCTGAACATCAAACATAAGTATGATGAACGACAAGAAACACTAGAAGTACCTCACTGGAACTCTCGGACATGTATCCATCGCCATCGCACTCGTCCTCCGAGCTGTCCTTTTCAACTCCGCCATCTCCTTCTTCCCTGCTAGTAAAAACTCAATCACGAAACAATACAAAAATAGGAGCTCGAATTTACCGCTGGACTTCGCAAGCTTTGTCTTCCTTCTCTACAAGTTCGCAGCTCTTTTCTTCATCCGCATCTACTCGTATGATCTCGCAGCTGTTTCCATCGACTTGTTCTTCACACCGGATTTCCTCCTTGACTTGTGCTTGCGGTGAGACTTTCTCTTCTTGGCATTCATCTTCTTCGCAAACTTTTCCTTGCTCCTCGACAAGCAGCCCATTCTCACTTCTCTCACCGATACTGGGGACTTCTCTGACTGACCTCAAAGAAATCTTCACATCATCTAGTGGATTCTCGGCCTTTATGCAATCCGAGGCGCAAAATGGCTGCCCTACAATCAGCGCAGCCACTCTCCTCGCCGCCGCCAAGCCGGCATTAAACTTCACCTGGAGCTCGGGATCCCCCATTGCCCAATCTCTCACGCTCCCAAAACCCTGAAACAATCCACCTGTGAGCCGCGGCGGTCGTAACGCTGGGAGACGATCGAGGATTCCAGCCACTGCCGAGGCATGGGAAGCGATCGTGAATGGAATCCCGCGCCCTCCCCGCGCGCTTCCTCTCCCTCCTCAAAGCCCTAAAACTTTTGAAAAAGCCGCCAATACACCCTAATAGGGTGAAAATTCTAGCCTCGCGTAAAACCAGGACTATTAGACAAAGCGTTGGACAAGAGCACATACAAGCTTGAATCCATCTCGCCCGCCAACTTCCTCGCAATCTTTGCTCCAAGCTCCAAATTGCCCTGTGTTCTACAAGCTCCCAGCAGCGAGATCATCCACGCCTCGCTCTTCTTCGCCCCTTCTCGCAAATCTTTGACAAGCTCCTCGCATTCCTCTAGCGATCCTCCCCTCCCGAAGAGATCCACGATACACCCATACTGCTTGGCCGCCGGCTCCACGAAATACGAGAGATCGATCGAGAGCATCAGCTCGCGCGCTCGATCTGGCATTCCTCCGTGGCTGCAAGCCGAGAGGATCCCAAGGAAGGAGACGCGATCGGCCGAGAATCCCTGCGAGCTCATCTCTGGAAGAAGGAGCAAGGCCTCGAGAACGCGGCCATGACGAGCAAACGCTGCCAGCATCGAGTTCCACGAGAAAGTGTTCCTCTCCGGCATGGAATCAAAGATCTTGCGAGCTTGGTTGATCTCTCCGCCACGGTTGTAAGCTCCGATCAAGGCGTTCCAGGAAACCAAGTTTCTCTCCGGCATCGAGTGGAAGATATTGGTTGCCTCGCGCCAGTGGCTGCCCGTAGCATACCCAGTGATCATCGCGTTCCAAGTTGTGACGTTGCTCTCCGGGATCTCGTCAAACAGACGTTTGGCCTCTTCGATCTGGCCATGCTCGGCATGAGCGGTGATCATCGCGTTCCACATCGCAACATCTCGCCGATCGACGCCATGGGCATCGAAGATCTCTCTGGCGGAGTTGATATACCCGTTCTGGGCATAGGCCACCAGCATCGCGGTTCTCACTGCTAGATCATCTCTGGGAGCTCGATCCATCACTTCTCTGGCCTTGCCAACATCCCCACCATCGCCGTAAGCCGCGATCATCGCAGTGGAGCTTGGAGAGTCGTGCTCGGGCACACCCTGGAAGATTTCCTCCGCTTGGTCGAGCCTGTCCACTGCGATGTAGGCCGAGATCATCGAGTTCCAGGCCAAAGCTGTGATCTCCGGCATTCGGTCGAAGAAGCATCTTGCCTGGATCACGTCTCCCATGCCAGCCAGCGAAGAAACCATGGCAGTCCAGCCTAGAGTGTTCGTCTCGGGCATCCCTTGGAGAAAAAAATCTCTGGCCTCGATCATCCTCCTGTTCTTGAGCAAGGCCGTGAGCATGGCATTGCACGAGACGAGCGTCCTCTCGGGCATGGCATCAAAGATCTCCTTCGGGGCAGCCAAGCAACGATGATCCCCGGCTTGGGCATACGCGCTGACCATCGCTGTCCACGACACGATGTCTCTCTCGGGCATCCGATCGAACAGCTCCTTCGCTCGATCCAGCTCCTGTTCCTGAGAAAATCCCGACAGCATCGCGTTCCACGATGCCACATTCCTCTGATCCATCGCCTCAAAGACCGCTTCCGCCTCGCGGAGATGCCCGTTCTGGGCATACGCAGAGATGAGGATGTTCCAGGAGAAGAGATTGGGTGGCGCCGCGAGATCGTCGAATGCCCGGCGAGCCTCCTCTGCGCTGCCACAACGCCGGAACGCATCGATCACGAGGTTCCCCAGCAGCAGATCCGGCGAAGAACCGAAACTCTCGCTCACGATCGCCTGCAAGCGCCTGGCGAGCTGGAGATCCGAGCAAGCTCGCAGCCGCCGTGCCAGTGCATCACGCTGGAGACTCAGATCCTCGCAGCTCCCCATTGATGATCATCCACCATCGTATTCTTCAAAACTCCAGTGACTTTGCGAAGAACTAGATCGATGAGCCGGGCTTGCTCGGTATCCAGCATCGCCCACCGAGCCAAGGAGGACAGCTTCGCGCGGCTGCTACGATCGTGCGCGGAGCTCCAGGATCTCTCCGGCGGCAAGCGCGTCCACGCCCGGATCGATCAGACCGAGCACCGCCACAGCACCTATCTCGCCAACCTCCTCGTCAACATGTACGCCAAGTGTGGCTCCGTGAACGATGCCCGCTACGTCTTCGATCGAATCCAGGAGCCCAATCGCTTCTCCTGGAACATCATGACGTGCGCCTACGCCATGAATGGATTCGTGGAGCTGGCCGCGAGCTTCTACCAGATGATGCCGGACAAGACCGTGATCGCTTGCACTGCCGTGATCGAGGCGCTGGGCCATCTCGGACAGATCGAGAGGGCCAAGACGCTCTTCGACGGCTTCCCTGCCACTGCCCGTGATCTCGTCTGCTCAAACGCGATGCTCGCGGCCTACGCCCGGAATGGGCATCTGGAATCGGCGGAGACGATGCTGCGGGCGATGGAGATCCGGAACGTCGTGTCATGGAACACGCTCTTGCTCGGCTATGCGGACCATGGCGATCCGAAATACGCGAAGAAGATCTTCCAGGAGATGCCGCAGCGCAACGAGGTGGTGTGGCTCGGCCTCATCGCGGCATTCGCCCAGCGCGGGTACTTGCAGAGAGTCCACGCGCTCTTCGATCGGATGCCCTGCCACAACGCCGGGACCTGGAGTACCTTGATCGAGTTGCGCTCAAAGGACGACGAGCTTGGCCGGGCTGAGAGGCTGTTCCAGAGGATGCCGCTGAGGAACAAGGCGGCATGGGCCGCGATGCTCCACGCGTATCTCCGTGCCGGAAATCTCACGCGCGCAAAAGATCTGCTCGACCGAATGCCGCAGCAAGAGATGGAGCTTGCCGTGGCCCTGATCGCGGCATACCTCAAAAGCGGCCTCCACAGACGTGCCAAGAAGAGCTTCGATCGCTTGCCCTGGGCCGATCCCCACGCATGGAGCTCGCTCCAAGGCAATATCACCAAGGGAGACGATTTGCCCCAATCTTGCCCGGATGAACTGAGATCTCCACTATCGTTCCAAAAACCAGCTCGATCGCCAAAGAAAGAAGCCTCCCGTCCTCAATCGCGCCTAGGATCTGCAAGAACCGGATCTCTCCATCCACAATCGGGCCTAGAATCGAGCAGCCGAGCCCCTGACGAGCGCTCTGTCCCTGGCGGCAATCTGGCGGCGCGGGCGGCCAAAGCAAGAAATCTCCATCGCCAGCGCCTGCCCCAAGCTTGCACCCTGGAGGAGCTTCGATCCCTCAAGCAGCGCATCCTGCTCATGCCGCCGGCGAAGAGGATCAAGTGGAGAGCGGTGCTCAAGCTCATGCGCGCCGGCTACCTTCTCAAGAAATGGAGCTCCTCCAAAATCTGGCCAAGGCGGGAAAGAAAGACTAGGCCCTAGATCCCCACGAATATTCTTCTCCTCTTTTAAAAAGCACTTCGCGACTAAACCTCAAGAGCCCTAATTTATGGCAAGAGATGCGCCAATTGATCTTGGGCCCTAAAAATTCCGGCAAAACGGAGCTTCTCGAGCAATCTCCCAACCTTTGTTCTGGAGGATCTCGATTGGCATGGAACGCTGGAGTCGAGATTCTTTCTTCTCCGCCAGCACCTCTAGTTCTTCCGCTTAGTGACGAAGAGTGGGCCAAGTTTGCGGTTGTATAAAGTGGATAATGACTTAAACATGACAACATTGGAAGTCACTAAGAAACTCCAGTCTTTCTCGAGCTCACAGGCTGGGAGCTCCAGTCTTTCCTTGAGCTCACTAAGATCTTTGTGTTCTTTGGGCGAGAAGTGTAAAGGAGTGGAGAGAGAAACTCTTGGTGGAGAGAGAAACCTTCTGCTTGAGTATCATCCAAACCTTTATATCATAAACAACATGCTCTAATTATCTATCGACCTGGATGAGCTTTGAAATTTTACCCCACCAGGCCTCATCCGCAGCAACCTCTCCATCAAAGTCCGGAATTGATTTTGGAATCCATTCACCAGCTGTGAGTTTAATGCTTTAGATTAGCTCTAGTTAACATAGTTAGTTTTGAGCCTTAATACTGAATTATTAAATATTCTTTTTGACCATAAACCCTGGGCACTGTAATTTTGGTTGGAGGCAGTGCATTTGTTTTTGGGATTGTTAGGTTCAACCAGTCTAGGATGGAGCATATAATGGACAGTTGTTTGTAGCAAATTGTCTAGGTAATGAGGACGAGTTATTTCTCTACAATACTTTCCAGTTCATAAACGTTCATAAACAACCCACAATCTCTACAACTCGCATTCTATCATGTCTTCGCAGTTTATTATCTGCTTAGTCTTTGCTCTTGTAGCGCTTGCAGGGACAAGCAACGCTGTAAGCTATCCGTTTTTTTAAAAATGCCCACACTAGAACTATAGCTAATCAGACTTTGATGCAGGCATGCAACTTTGAGGAAGCTGTGACAAGAACTCAGAGGTTATAAGCGGCACAACATTGACTGCCAATTGTTACAAGCCCAATGGCCAGCTCCAAAGGAGCAGCATCAATCTTAACGATTGCTTCAGCAACAATGGAGGCACCCTCAACTGTGGCAGAAACTTTGTTGCCTCGTGCCAGAATGTAGTGATCACCCCGTGGTACCATCCTCCAGCTCCAGGTCCTGCTTCCATCAATGCGCAGTGCTATGGCAATGGCCAGTATCGTTATACCTCAGTACTGATTAACAAGTGTGTGCACAACAACAATGGATTCCTCCAGTGTTGTAGCAGCGAGTGAAATTTCTCATGATAATTGTTATTTATGATTCTTTTGATTTAGGGTTCTTGCATCTTAAGATTGAGGCACCACCGCTCTTTCTTCGCGGATGCCACAACGATTTGGCTCGGGGCACTGCCTTATTCCCCAAGAGCTTTTGCACACTTTTCTTCCGTGTACAAACATGCTCAATCTTGCATTTCGCAAAGTAGCGATTTACCACCTTGTTGTTCCTTCACCACCATTCTAACAACGATGCCAATCATCACAGCATTAGCTCACAGCAGTGCCCTGGATCTTCTTCCAGAAAGAGCTCCCGATTTTCAGCACTAACAAGAGAACCAAGCAAAGTCCACGAATCCTGGCACAGCCTCGGGCGCCTCCTCCACTGACCAGCTCTTGGAATCGACTCCAAAGTGCAAAATCCGTGAGTTATCCCCGTCAAGCAGCCATATACTGTTGCTCCCATCAGTGCAAACAGTGCACGCCTCCAAATCATCAAACTCCTCATCACGGCTCGAAACAATCTCCCACTTCTCTCCCCGCCTCTCTACGACAACCAGCCCCTCGTGATCTTCCGCCTGGAACTCATTACTAACCACGAACAGCCGATCCCGATCCAGCTGAAGAACGGACCAGCTCCATTCGAACATCAACTCGTCGGAATCAAGCTTGAGAATGCGCCAGGAATCATCCCACAAGTTGTATCTCACGAGGCTCCAGGTATCCATGCAAAGCATCACCACCTCCCCATGATCCAGCATTGGATAGAAACCATCCCCGTCCTCCATGTCCCCTGTGACTGGGTAGTGTTTGTTCTCGCGCAAGGACCACTCGCCCGAGGACGAATCGTAGATGTAGAAGGCGCCCCATGGCCCGAAGCTAGCGACGCAAAACTCTCGCGTCGATCGATCCCTCTCGCGGCGGTACACCCTCAAGCGCATATCAGGGTCGATCTCTGGCGGCAACGGAACTCTCACCGGAGAGGAGTTGAGATCGCTGTAGCGCCACACGAAGATGGAGGATAGCGCCAACCAGTTCCCAAACGTGGCCAGGCACAGCAAGCCCGCGTCGCTGCTGGCGATGGTCATGCCCTTGGGGAGCTTCTGGAAGTGGCGCCACTCGCTGCGAGGGGAGTTGTCGAGCGGCTTGACGAGGAGGGATCCAGAAAGACGAAAGCAGAGGTGAGGGATGCAGCGGTGGGAGAGAGCGTAGCCATTGCGGAAGCTGGGATCGTCAATTGCTCGTCGCCATTCGCGGCACACGCACCTGGCCTGGCACAGATCGATCGCGGACAGCCTGAGGAAGACGAGCTCCAGCTCTGTCACGACTTCGCCGCTGGCGATCGCTCCTCTTTGCCGCATTCTGTGTGTGCCCTAGTCTCGATTTTAGGGCTTTGCAATTTTAGGGTTCTTGCATCTTTAACATTGAGGACGCCGCTCTTTCTTCGCGGCTCGCTTATACGCGGATGCCACAACGATTTCTCGCGGCTTCCATGGTTCGCTGCCTTGTTCGACTGATGGACGCCACAGCGCCTTCTTCTCTCTCTCTCTTTTTCTCGCGCATTTAGTACTGGGGCACTGCGAAGATTCTATCGCGTGTGCTTTGCTCGTTCAGCTAATGCTACATTGCTAATCTCCTTTCGCAATGTCCTGGGATTTCTTTCATCTCTTCTTTTCTCTGGACAAAGATCTCATGGCATGTAGGAGAGATTCTTCGTTCTTCTCGCTTTTTCGTGCATCTTTTCTGGGGCTACACGCGATTTAATTTCCAGTGCGTGTCGCTCATTCACACAATGCACAGACTAAATCTTGTCGATCTCTCCTGTGGCTTTCTGAGAGATTCACGCGATGAATCTTCTCATGCAGTTGGCAGGAGAACAAAAAACCATCTTTCCTTTGATTTCGATGACACACCAAGGATCATCGTTTAGGACTCTTTGTTTGCAAAAAAAGTATAGCGATGGTACATCTGTACAGTGCGTTTCTCTAGAGAAAACTCGCGCAAAAACCCCCAGAGAGAATGAGAAAAGATGGAAAGAAAGTAAAACCAGACCTTTTTCTTCTCACAGTCACGTCCTTGACGTTGGGGCCTTTGTCCCACGAAGCAAACTGGCCCGCGACCTTCTTTAGCAGCACTCCAGCGTTAAAAATCGCGGTGGAGTCTCTCAGGTTACTCGGCTGTGGCAATCCAAACACCACCCGGTTCACGTCTTCGTCGACTTGCAGGCTGTAGACTTCGCTAAAAATCTGCAAAGCAAGAACAACTTGTAAGCTCTTACTGCTACCAGAAACGAGAGTCTAGCGAGCTTACTTTACACATTCTCTGGTCTGCTTGTATGTGAGGCTCACGAGCCCGCGAAACAACGTTTATGACAAGGATTCCTTCGGGTTCCAGAGCAGCTTTCGCATTGCGGAGGAATGTTTCGAGAAGGAATTCCTCGGGAGGGCAGCTTAGCCCATTACTGCAACGGAGTTATCTGATCACTTCAACAAAGATCAACCCAGAAAAGAGAGAACCGAACCTTGGATCGGAGGAATCAGCGTCAATGAGTAGTATGTGCAATTTATGTCTAGTGTTCTCGCTGTTAGCTTGTTCTTCCATCTGAAATAAGAAATATTTGAGAGTTTCTTCTTTCAAGTTTGATCTTTCAACTCATACCTCAAGTTTTGCTATAGCATCGACAGCGGCTAATCCATCTCCAAGTCTCAGCTGTAAGAGAATATATTATTGGTTAAGAAGAAAAAGGAAAATTGCATGCCTGCATGCGATCGTCTTCCAAAAATCCAAAGTGACGCTTTGCCAAATCAGCAACAACCGGATCCAGCTCCACTACCTTAAACAAGAAAAAAACTTTTGTCATGTAACGAAAAAGAAAGAGAACACTTCACCTCAATGCTGTTGAAGGGAAAATGCTTGTACAGAAACATTGGGAGCAATCCAGCACCAAGCCCAACGATCATCACACGAATCTGTACTAGTAGTTGAGGATTAATCCTTTGTCACAAGCAGAAAATAGCAAACACTTTGATTGCCATGCCTGTTCTTTGGAAGATACGCATGACTCAATCTTAGTAGCGATCAAAGATAGGCCTGCCACTGATACGGACTGGCCAAGTAACTGTGATCTACCTTCATCTCATCCGTGGTGTCAGAAACAAACACAAGAACAAGAAAGAAAAAAGTTACACTTTGATTAAAGTCAAGAAGTTTCTATACCACGTACTTTGTCTTCTCTGCGCTGCAATTTCTTTGCCATGTTTGTTTTTCTTTTTACTACCCGCGTTAGTAAAGCCTCCGACTGGATGAGGTTGGGATTACGTTTAAAGAACAGGCGTCGAAAGAAGGCCTTTTTTTGTCGGATGATACAACATCCTCTACAAGCATGGTACCCGTTAATGGAGAATCGATCTGAACAAAGGAGAGAAAAGTCAATGGTTTCTGTTTGTGAATCGATGCACGGCATTGTTACCTCCTCCAGCAGAGTCCCTTTAGAAACTCCGTCCTGTGGCAGCAGGAAACTGTAGATTTTCGCAACCAAGAGTTAGAAACCTCACAGCATAATTCTAGTCACTGAATTCTAGCATTATGCATTAGCCACTAGGCATTATTAATTAGAATTATAGCTTTCATGCAGCAGCAGCAACTATAGGTTTCTAACCTGAAACCTATAATTCTAATTTCTAATTTCTAGTTGCTGCTGCTGCATAATGCCCATTGTAGGGAGAATCATGGCAAGAGCCAATCACCTGCTACACCTCATGAGGAAGAATGATCAAGATGAAAGCTCGTGATTGGTACAGAAGCCTCTTCTGTGCCACCTTCGGCATATCATCAGGAAATCTGCTAACAGCAAGAAATTCTGCGATACCCTGATACCACTCCAGCACAGCTACAAACCTAGTATAACAGCAGCTCCTCTACTTTTGATCGAGTTGAGAACATAGCTGGAATTTCTGTAGAAACTTGCCTGCCCTCCAACAAGAAAAGAAGAGCATTAGGCAGCTCATCATAAACTCCTTCCTTGGCAGGTTCTCCTAGTAATCTCGAAAGATGATCAGGCATCACATGAGATTTTCCCAGCTTCAACACGATCTTGAATTCGAATTCTTGAAGCAGAAGCAACCAGCGAGTGATTCGGCTGTGTCAACAAGGCTTGTTGATAAGATAGCGCAGCGCCTAGTGATCTAGATAGAAGAGAAATGGCTTTCCCAGTAGATAGTGGCGATATTTAGAAACAGCAAACACCATTCCTAAGCCCTTGCGTTCAGGGGCTGTATAATTCTTCTCAGCCAGAGATAACTACCTGCTCGAATAAAAGATGGGATGATCCCAACCATTAATTGGCTAGCATAAAACAACACCAATAGCAAAAGCTGAGGTGTTGACATGCACATGGAATTTCAAATTCCAGTCTGGCGGCTTAAGAATTGGAGCGGTCGTCAAGGCTCACTTCAACTGTATAAAAGAAGCTTGGCACTCAGGGGTCCACACAAAAGGAACGTTCTTTTTCAAGAGGCCCATCAAAGGAAAAGCTACATCAGCATAATGTTGGATAAAGCGTCGGTGATAACCAACATGGCTAAGAAAACCTTGTAGCTCCTTCACGGTCTGTGGTGCCTCAAGCTCCTCCACTACATTCACTTTTGCAGGATCCACCTCCAAGCCTTGAGCCGAGACGACCCTGCCAAGCAACCACCGTGCGTTACTCCGAATTGGTACTTCCCAGGATTAAGAGAAATACCAAACTTCCGGCATTGCTGGAACACTACACGAAGCTGTTCTAGATGTTTCCTGCAGCTTCCAAAAGTCGAGAAGTCATCCAAGAAGACTTCCACACTCTCATGAAGAAGAGATCTGAATGCTGAAGTCACCACACGTTGGAAAGTAGCCGGTGCGTTTGTCAAATCGAATGGCATGACACAAAAGATATAGCAGCCCCACTCTGTAACAAATGCCGTCTTTGCTCGATCCTCAGGAGCCACCTAGATCTGGTTATATCCACTATAACCATCCATAAAGCTGTACAACTCCTTCCTTGTGACCCCATCCAACACCACATCTATGAAGGGAAGAGAAAATCCATCCTGCCTCATTGCAGCATTAAGGCGGCGATAATCCACACACACTCTAAGTTTACCATTCTTCTTTCGGACCACTACGATTGGCAAAAGCCAATCTGTAGCCTCCACTTCTTCAATAAATCCTGCATCCAACAGCTTCTGAAGCTCTTCACACACAGCCTTAGCATAGCTCATATTCATCTTATAAGCTCTTTATTGCTGTGGCACTGCATCTGGAAGCAAGGGAATCCTTTGTTGCACCAGCTCTGGATCTACTCCAGCAAGTTTAGCATGGCTCCATGCAAACACATTTTGAAACTCCAAAAGTAGTTGACGATAAGCTTCCACCTCCTCCTTGGTGAGTTGGTGTCCCACCAGTAACTCACGTCGCTCGTCACCAACCTGCTCCATAAACACAGCTTGTGTTTGGGGTGCCTTTCCAAAATAATCTGAATCAACTTGAGAACAAGCGGAAGTTTCCTTGAGTGGAAGATCAGCAACCTACTCCTTACAAAAATAGCTGGGATAATTTCAGCTGTTGGCACCACGTCCACGGAAATTTGATGACCAGCTAGCGGTCCATCCCTAATTTGAATTGGTTGCATTGGTGATGACTTGAGCATACTACGATCCTTGCATGCTGCCACTTGCTTTTTAACTTTGAAACCTTCTCGACTTTCAGCATATAAGAAAAGTGATAGTCAAACGCACTGATATTAGACAAGATGATTGTCCAAGATTGATGATTATCATCTTCAACCACCAGAGTACCAGTCACATAGTCATGACTGGTACAACTAGTATGGACAACTATATCCTGCTGGGACAAGATTTTTTTAAGGCAGCAAGAGTGTCTCATCAGTGGAATGATCCTCTTCACTTGTGGATTCCAAATCCACATGGTAGTGACAGAGTGCAAATCAGCATGGAAGAAGGGGATGAGCCCAGTGAGGAGGTGCCACCAGAAAATCCAGGTCAACTGGAAATTTTGGTATCTTAATCGTCAAATTTGGAACTCTATATATGATCTGCTTTAACTCTTCTGCTCGCATAGCCCAGCATGGCTGCTCCACTGAATAGCTTTGAGCTGGCAAGTGGCAACTAGTTCCTCACTCAAAAAATTGTTCCTCACATCAGGATTCAAAATGCAGTCCATCCCCTTCTCATGAAGCACCATAGCTATGTAGCAAGGAAAAGGGCTCTATCCTCGCCACTGTCTGGCAGCAGTCTCTTCTTCCTCCACCTGTACGCTGGTGAAAGGCAACTCTCCATCCTTTCCTAACAGCCAGCTCTCAAGCTCCTCAGTGTTGCATGCTGAAAGAGGCTTACCCCAGGAATTCCTGGCGACAACAGCCACATCCACCATTTCTAGCTCCTCACAACTGGTTGTGCTGCTGCTACCCTCCTCATCATCCTCATTTTTTGTCTGGCTGCTAGAATTGGATGTATCAGAATTGTTTTCATCCTCCTATTCTGCCCCAAATACTCGCCGTGCCCTAAGGCAAAAATGAACTTGGGCTTTTAACACAATTATTGCCATTGCCAATGGTAAGAATTCCTGTACACCAATTATGCACAGCTGTGGCCTGGAGAAGCCAAGGACGTTTGAGCAGTAGTGGATAGCCCAACATGCCCTCCTTCATCTTCAAGACCATAAAATCGATGTAGAAAACTAGACCAGCAATCTGAGTGCTAACACTGGTCACGATTCCTCTTGGCTGGACACGTCTCTAGTTGGCCATTTTAACCATAAACACCACTGGAACTAGTTCTGGAAGATTGAACTTTTGCCATGTCTCCTCAGGCAAAATATTCACCCCACTTCCACCATCGATCACAGCACGACAGATCAGCTTGCCTTGCATCTCCATGTCTATACAGGGGGAGCTGAGATCTGTGATAAGGGGCCAGACTGAATTAACCAGTACTTCTTGATGTCCCTTCATGGCCACGGCCAACACTTTCTTCATGCCTAGAGCCAATTGCAAGAGCTGGGCGAATGTGACGTTCGGGCGTTGACTATCCAAGTCTTGTAGAATATTGTACGGCTGTGTTTCCAGATTCAGCATTTGTTTCCACTTCTTGCATAGCACCTTGGCGACTCCCTAGCCCTTGTTAAGAGCCATAGCTGGGGTAGTTATTTCAGGATCAGGGACTGGTTTATCTTGGTCATTTGTAACCGGTGGATCTGATCTGGGCTGCTTACTCTCTCTTTTCTTCTTGCAGTTCTTTCTTGCATTTTTCTTTGGGTCATCCTCCTCCTCAGCATCATCAATTACAAAGTTCTCCATCTGTTGCTGCCTCCATGCCCGTGTCATAACTCCAGATTCTGGTGCAGCTTGCTGGACAAAAATTGCATCGCTTTCTACGACCCCCTTTCCCTTGCTTGGCTTAAGCTTATGCAAGGAATTGTCTTGTTTGTCCTGTGTCTAACAAATTCCACATATGGGCTGGTACCCAATCTGCTTCCTGGGATGTGGATAGTTTGGTGAAATGTGGCCCATCTCATCGCAATTCTAGCATTGAACAGGTCCTCTAGGGGAAGCTCCTTGTCCACGGCCGCCT